CACAGAATCTTTTTGCACATTGAATTCCTCACACTGGATGTTTATCTGGTGAAAATTCACCTGCAAAAAAATCGACAACAAATCTTTTGACCTTTTGGCAAATTCAAACCAAAGCAATCTATACTTGAGGAAGCCGAGCAGCTTCTAGCCGCTTCTTCCGGATCCAACTGAGAGCCATGTTGGACAGGGATAGCATCACTAGCTGTGATCAGCTTAGTTATATCATCAAGTCCTATTAGATGAAAAACTCTAATGGCCGTCTATTAGTAGCTATCTGATGTTTAGTGATCACATCTATTAAACCAGATAAACTCCTCATTCAGCTTCATTCAGCCGGGAACAAAGTTAATTTCATTGGATAGAAGCTGCTCGACCACATCGACTGTAGATTGCTTTGGCTTGAGTTCACTAAAAGTTCAACACTTTGCTGTTTAATTTTTTGCAGCCAAATTTTGACCAGTGTGAGGTGTACGGTTGGATAAAGGAGGAGTTATGCTGAGGGATCTGCCTCTTAATCTCAGTTAAATCTACTTGATGTTGCAGCTTTTTTTTTCTAGGTTTTATCATCATTGCAAGTGCAATAAAATTGACTCTCTGCACTTAATCCATCCCCTTTAGGAGCAGTGGGCGGCCATTGTTGGCGCCCGGGGATCAGTGTGGGGTAAAGGGTCTTGCTCAGGGACCCAGAGTGTCAGTCTGTGGGAGAGTATGGGACTTGAACTCAGAACCTCTGAGACCCAACGCTATACTCTAACTAGGCGACCACCCCCCCAGTGGACGAAGACTTTTGGGACATTTTGGACAACTGCACACTACAAAGTTAGTTCCATTGTGAATATGGATGAGCTGCACAGAGACTGTAGCTAAACATGGCAGATTATGTCCAACATCTAAAATGTGTTTTAGGAAGAACTGAGTTTAACTCTCTGATAAAGACTCTCCTGAACCTGATTGACTGAGGAAGAACCAGCTTTATATTAAATAAATTATTTCAAAAGCATGATGTTCCTTTACGATGGTAGCTTGAAAGTGGAGGTGAATGATCAGGTGAGGTGCTCACCTGTTTTCTGCTCATCACAGGAGACCTGACGGGTCTGATGGGAGAGACGGACATCCTGCTGGAGGGAGAGACGGGTCTGCGGAGGAGACGGCGTTTCGTTAGACCTCACAGCTCAGCGGTCTGAGCCCGGCTCCTCTGACTGCGGAGGCGGAGACTCACCTGACAGGTGCGGGCGTCGGCCCCTTCACGTGTCTTACAGGGGACGGGGACTGCTGCCGGCCTCCCGTTACCTTGGATACGAAGGACGGGGGGGACCTGGAGGTGGGTTTCGGGGGGACCCTCGGGGGGGTTTTGTGCGCGATGTGCTGAGTCATGATTCCTCCTTCCACGTGCATCTCCATCATGGTGGTGGCCTGGAAACTGGCCTCCATCTTCAGGAGGAAACAGACCAACGTTAGAAGCTGTCAGCAGCAGACATGGCGCGTAACGCCACAGAGCGCCACTAGGTGCTGCTCCAACGCCACTCACCCTCTCAACTCTGGACCCAGACGTCTCCATCTGGGACGTGGACATGATAGTCTTTGTTTTCTTAATGGGAACAACTTCTTCTCCTGCATCAGAGAAACCAGAAGGTTTAGTTCTGATCCAAACCACTGAGCTACCAGAACCAGAACCTGAGCTCACCTTGGACCAGAAGCTCGCAGGTGGACGTGGCGCGTCCGCTGCTGTTGGTAGCCGTCACTGAATACGTCCCAGAATCCTCCGGGAAGGCCTCTGCGATCAGCAGACTGTACAGGTCTCCGTCCTGGAGGATCTGGAAGTCGGTGGAGCTCTGGATCTCGGCTCCTTCTCTGTAGAACTTCACCACAGGTGTGGGGATTCCTGAGACTCTGACGCTCAGCCTCACCTGGCTGCCCTGACTCACAGAGGAGCTCTGGAGTCTCTGAAGGAAGGCGGGAGGTGCCGTCTCGGCTGCAGAGACACAGAGAACAGAAACCATCAACAAAAACCTGGAAAACCAATTAAAGTTAAAAAAAACAATCCACTGGACTTTGTTTCTAAGATTGAAGACGTTTCGCTTCCCATCCAGGAAGCTTTTTCAATTCAAAATGTCAGAAATAGCGTTGAGTTCAAGGCTTTATAGAGTGGACCAAAAACAAAACCTTGTTTTTGTTTAGAAAACATGCAAATTGAAATGATCAAACGAGTCCCCCCCTTTGGAATGGGGGTCATTTGGTTTCTTTGTTAGCCTGTAAATCCAGATACCTGTCTATGTCTCTGAAAGGGAGACATTAGAGGGAATTGTTAGCCTGGCTGAACAGGAAAGGTGTTCTGTTCTCTTGTAAGCTGCTGGTTTTTACCTGCAGCTGGCAGGTATATATGGTCAGTTTGATCTCCTCTGAGCCTCCCTGACCTTTGACCTCCTGGTCCTGCTGACCCCATTGGTTCTGCATCTGATGATCTGGACTATATCATCACATCATAAAGTCCAGATCCAGTTAAGGAAAGTTATGCTGCAGCAGCTGCATCTATATCGGTTTTATCACTGGATTAAATAACAAGCTCCGCCCACTCAGCTGACACCAGATAAATTTAGCCTCAGACCGAAGCGCAGCGCCTCGGAATAAACCTTTATTAATCTGACGGACGCTCAACCTGCTGCTGCCGCCGTCAACGGGTCGAATTTAAGAGCAAAATAATCCTAAATGATCAGTTTAACAGTGACTCAGCTATAAACTGCAGAAAGTTTTCTAATCCTGCCTGTTTCTGTTTTTTTTCCATCTTTAGACCTGCTTTAATCTGTGATCAGAGTCTAGGTTTAAAACTTCCATTTTTAAATCTTCCCCAAAGCTGTCAGCCAATCAGACGCCCCAGATTGGACAAGATGCATCAGCTGACGTTTAAACTATTCCTTTGTTTATTTTGTGTTATCTGTCAAATCTACAGTTTTTAAATAAAGAAAATTATTCTGAATTTCAGTTTCCAATGTTTTAGTTTCAAGGTATCTATCACTGATATTCCTGCTGGAAAATCAGAATCAACTCGATTCATTCAGCATCATCTGATGCTAACATCTGGATCAGAGCAGAAACGCATCCAGAGTTTCACACTAAAGCTTTGTTCTGAACATCCAGGCCACCGTAGCAGGAAGCCTTTGCTTTTACACAAGTTAAGTCTAGTTCATCTAGTTTAACTTTTATTCTTATTCTGTTCAGCAGATTTTCTTCATCGTAAAAACTAGAAAAACTAAAACCTCAAAACAACTCAAATAAATTTGTCTTTTTAAAACTTATTTTAATCATTCATAAATGTTCAAAGGTGTTTGCTCTAGTTTAACAAACTGCAGAGTGAATATTTCTATAATAAAAGAAGCAAAAACATGAATGCTAATTAATAAAAGATAAAGAACTGAGAGCAGCTGGTTGGTAGAAGAGTTTCCAGCTGATCAAAAGACTAAACAGGTTTTCCTTCATGTCTCCAGTTCTGTTACTAGATCAGCTAAATAAACGTCTCTGCTTAGTTTGTTAAGTTCCTTACACCTCTGTCCCTCCTGTCTCTGTCCCCCTGCCTCTGTCCTCCTGCCTCTCTCCTCCTGCCTCTGTCCTCCTCTCTCCGTCCCCCTGCCTCCGTGCTCCTGTCTAGTCCCTCCTGTCTCCACCCCCCTGCCTCTGTCCCTCCTGTCTCCATCTTCTGCCTCTGTCCCGCTGCCTCTGTCTCTGTCCCCCTGCCTCTGTCTCTGTCCCTCCTGCCTCCGTCCGTCCTGTCTCTATCCCTCCTGCCTCCGTCCGTCCTGTCTCTATCCCTCCTGCCTCCATCCCTCCTGTCACTGTCCCCCTGCCTCTCTCTAGTCCCTCCTGCCTCCGTCCCCCTGCCTCTGTCCTCCTGTCTCCGTCCCCCTGTCTCTGTCCTCTGCCTCTGTCCCCCTGCCTCTGTCTAGTCCCTCCTGTCTCCACCCCCCTGTCTCTGTTCCTCCTGCCTCCGTCCCTCCTGTCACTGTCCCCCTGCCTCCGTCCCCCTGCCTCCGTCCCCCTGCCTCTGTCCTCCTGTCTCCGTCCCCCTGCCTCCGTGCTCCTGTCTAGTCCCTCCTGTCTCTGTCCTCCTGTCTAGTCCCTCCTGTCTCCATCCCCTTGCCTCCGTCCCTCTTTCTCCGTCCCCCTGCCTCCGTCCCCCTGCCTCTGTCCCCCTGTGTCTGTCCTCCCAGTCCTACCTGTAACCAGGAGCTCAGCGGTGCTGGTGGCTTGCCCGGCGCCGTTGGTAGCTCTGACGGAGAAGCGCCCGCTGTGTGCGGCATTCACAGCGGGGATCCTCAGAACAGCGCGGCCGTCGCTGAACGAGAACTGGACGCCGGGCAGAGCTGCGGCGGAAAGAACCTGGCCATCACGGAACCAGCTCACCTCAGGAACTGGAGAACCTGCAGAGAAGGAGAACCAGAACCAGGAGGTGAGACCTTGAAGAAGCTCCTGGTCGGCGAGCCAGCGATCCAAACTTCCTTCTTACCACTAACTTGAGCCTCGAACGTGGCGGCACTACCCTCTAGTGCCACGACGCTCTGTAGCGGCTGAGTAAACGTCGGCGCCTGTGTTGACATCACGGTCGGCACCCTGAGGAAGACACAACCATCAGAACCTTCATCACTTCTGTCCTCATCATCATCATCATCATCAACTCTTAATGAGTAACTGGAACATAAACTGATTTTCCAGTTTCAGGTCTGGTCTCCTCTATTCTACTCTAAGATAAATTTATTCTGTTTATTGTTAAACTTCATGTTGTTCTAAACCAGTAAAACCATAAAGACATGAATCTCTCCTCCTTCTCACTCCACTAACAACTGGTTTATTCTGGTTATCTGGGATTTATCCGTCCAGCTGAAATACTTTAATCACTTTGAGTCAAATTAAGACAATTAAACCAGAAAGGATCCAAATGAAATGAAAATGAATGAAATGTTACTTTAATCCTCGTCTGTCAGAAAAAAAAACTAAAAATAAAATCAGAAAAAAAATTAAAACATCTAAGATCTGATAAACCTGCCGACAACAAATGCAGGAATGTTAGAAGATTTTCAGCAAGAAGAGGAAGAAAGTTTCACATGAAATGAACTTTACTCCATTTCTTTCAAAAGGAAACGACTTCTTTAACGAGATGGAAAAAATTAAAACGAAGAAAAACTGTAAACTCAGAGCAACAGGTAAAACAGTCCATAGGAGGACAAAGGAAGACTAGGGAGGAGGAAGGAGGACAAAGGAGAACAAAGGAAGACGAAGGAGGACGAGGGAGGTGGAAGGAGGACATGCCATGTCCCCAGACAGAACCCAGCCAGGTTTCTAACCATCAACCTTCCAGCTGTTCTGACTGAACTTTTGAAAGGAGGAATTATTTCTACTTTATTAACCTCTGAGGGGAAATTCTGGTTCTGAGCAAAAAACATCAAACGGACTGAACCCGGCTGAACCGGTTCCGGTCTGATCTGTACGTCTCCTTTCTGGACTCGTCCCACTTGGAGAGGATCCAGAGATCTCTGGGAACCCGGGGATTCCCTTCTGGACCGGTTCCTGTCTAAATGGACCTGATCCTCCTCAGAGAGGAAGATTCTCTGATCGGTTCTGGTTCCACCCAGACTCATCTGGTTCCCCCAGTTTGATGGTTCTGAATGTTTGTTCTGGAAGGTTCTGCTCATTTCTGACTGTTCCCACCAGTGGAACCACTGGGTCCATTCTGGGTCCATTCTGGGTCCATTCTGGGTCAAACCCACCCAGTCTAAATCTGGACCGGTCCTCTCCTGTCTGGTACCGGTTTCTGGTTCTGTTCTAGACATCAGTCCATTCATTCCTAGAAGCCAATCAGCGTTCTGACCCAGTTGGTTCCTGTTTTTGAGGACTGGATGAACAGGAAGTGGTTCTTCTGTTTCTAAAGCATCAGAACCAGCTGGTTCTGGGTTCATCCGAACAAACGGACCTCCATTTATAAATAAATCCACCTTAGACTGCAAACAGCGCCACTTTTCATTATTCAGTAACTAATCTGAATAATTGTGGTAAATTATGTTTCAGTTAATTGAATAAAAAATATTTAACAAAAATATCAGTTTTTTACTTAAATGTTTGATTTTAGCGTTTCCTTGATAAATGTCATCATTTTGGTGTGGTGTCATCATTATCTTCGGTATCGGTCGATGACGTCAGACATGTTTCTACTAATCAACCTGATAAAAACAGTAACTTTAGTTGATGTTTTTGTTTGTTTATGTTGAGAAATGTTTGAACTGCTGTTGTTTTTATTTAGTGTCAAAGGAAATAAAACATTTTATTATCAGTAATCTGCCCAAATGTTCCCATCGATGCGTCACCTTCATTTCTTCTCATCATTTTATCACCTTATTGGATCTGATTTGTTTTTCTAAGTAGTTTAATAAAGTGTTTTCTTTCCTTTTGAAGATGCTAATTAATTCCAGATATAAACGCTCTAGATCCTCAGCTTCACAATATTGTTAAAGTTTTCATGCAGATTGATTCAGAGACTCCAAACAGAACCGAACCTCTTTATCTGGACCAAAGCTTCCGGCTGGTATGTGGAGCTGATATGGAACCAGCTACCAGGAGCAGAACCGGTTCCAGCTGGAAAGAACCGACCCTGGCATGTCTGAGGACAAACATGGCGGATCTATCAAAGCTACTGAGATTAATTACGAATAAAAACTCAGTAAAGCTACTAAATTATTCACTGTAACATTACATCTTTAAATTAGATAAATAATTTGTTTAGTTCACTTCGGTTTTATTTATTTTCTTTACTAAATAATATATATTTTTAACATGAATTAAAATTTTTTTTTAAATCTGTTTAATTTTAATGTGTAAACAGAAACATTTTATAGATGCGCTGCCCCCTACAGGCAGATTCAGCTCATTACCAGTTATTTCCCTGAACGGATCACACTACAAAAATGATCTATAAGTAAAAACAAAATCCTAATTAAGTGTTCTTACCTTTATTTTGAGTATATAAATAAAATGATTTACCAATGGAATGACTATTTTTACTCCTAGAATAAGATAATTAGATAAAATGCTCCTAACATAAGACAATGCAAATGTTATTTCTTATTTTAAATGTAAAATGTCTACTTCCATTGGCAACGTGTCTCACTTAACCTCTCAATTCAAGACAAAATAAACTTAAAAAATAAACTTATTTTAAGACAAAATTACCTATTTAGATTTCTATTTTTTGCAGATCTGATTTATAAACAGGGAAACATTCGGTTCACCACATCCTGCTCAATCTCAGCTTCTAATCTCTATTATTGGGATAAACACCAAAAAAGGGACATTTAAACACAGCAACAAATGAAATATATAGAGGTATTTTTTTTAAATAAGAGTATTTTCCTTAGTTTGAGCAGGAAAGTGAGACAATGTCTCATTTTAACTGAATAATATCTGATTATCTTATTTTAAGGGGAGAACTTTCTCATTGTGTTGGCAGATTATCAGATTTATTCGCTAGAAGAGCTATATGTGTATATATTTTTATCTTTTTTATTTTTATCTTTATTATCTTGTGTAGTTGGATGTGTATATATAAATAAAACTGTAACTGGAGCATGTAACAAAAGTAATTTCCCTCTGGGACTGTTAAAGTATTTCTGATTCTGATAAAATTATTATAATCTACTTATTCTTACATCAATTTTTGTAGTAAAGTCTAAATGGTGTTTTTTTGTTTTTTAATGAATGTAACTTTCTGTAATAAAGAAACTGAATCAGAACCATCAGATTGGGAGAAAAGCTCAGAGCAGCAGGTTTCAGTTTCTCTCTATGTTCATTCAGAAGAAATAAACTTCAGACTTTCCTCTGAAAACAAAAGAACGCAGAGCGAAGTTTGATGATAAACGGAGTAAAAAATAAAATTAATACTTTCTTTTAAATGAAGCCAGAATGATGAGCTGAATCTAAATCCCAGAGCGTCTCAGTCATAAACTCTGATCATCAGAAGGACTCCTGCAGCTGCTGCTTTCCAAAATAAGAGCCTCAGAAAGGTGTTGCTGCTGTCAATCAGCCCACAGCCCAGAGGGGGGGGGGGGCTGTTAGTTAACACAGGGCAGCTATAAATAGCCCCCCCCAGCCCCCGGTTTGACGGACAGTCACCATGTGGGGCGCATATCTGAGAGCTGATAGCCCTGCTGCTGATTCCCTTAAAAAGCCATGCGCCGGTGGGGGTGGGGGGGCGGCAGCTATTCTGGGAGGTCCGCATCACCTTCAGCACAAACTCACTAAAAGGTTCTGGACCCTGAAAACCCAAAATCAGGACCCGGGTCCGTGTCGGTCGCCAACAATCAGAACCACTCACCTGTCAGCACAAGGATGCCTGGGGGGCCCTCAGCGGGGCGGGGGGGGGCAGCAAATCTAAAACCTTTATCCAGAAACAGTCAGAAAGTCCAGAAGAGCAGCCGAGCGGCGCAGGAAGCCCTCAGTAGAAAACAAAACTACAGGCGGGCGCCGTGTAGTTCTGTTCGTCCTCCTGACAGCAGTCCCTCCAGCCGAGGCGTCCAGGCCGGGAACGCTGACTCTGCTCAGGGCTGCCCACCGCCCGCCGGGGGCTTTATACGCCCCTGACATCACCATGGGAGGGGGCCTCTGATTGGTCGGCCCTGGGCTGATCCTGGGAGGGATGATAGGCGGACACTTTATACCGGTCATCACAGCTGCTGCGCAGGAATCAAGAAATCTGTTCAGGAAGAAACGAGTTCAGAACAATCAGGGTGAGGAAGAGGAGGAGGGATTTCAACTACAGACCAGCAGGCAGGAAAGCAGACATGTTAGGAAGAGGAGGGGTCAGTTTTCTTGAAGGCTCCTCATCGTCAGTAGAAACAGATTTTTATGGCTTCAATCTGAACATGTGGAAACTTTAACTTGTGTCCATCATTGGAGGTAAAGCAGCTCAGTCAGTCAGACTGGATCCAGCAGGTCTAGAAACATCAGCCGCCTGCAATCTGTCCACATTTCTCAGTCCCATTCAGGTCTGGACTTTGACTAGGCCACTCTAACTCCAGCACACTCCATGTTAGCTTCCCTCCGTGTGTCGGGCTGCTTCATCCTGCTGGAAGGAGAAGCTCTGCTCCAGTCTGTCCCATCATCCCACAGCATGACGCTGCCACCACCATGCAGGCCAGCTTGGAATGGACAAAGCTCCTAAATGTTTATTTAGGATGTGTGTCTCTACAGGGTGACACACATCTCTGCTTTCTGTCCA